TTTCTCCCCCCCAAAAAAGCGAGCGAAAGCCGGCGCCAAGGAGCGAACGAGAGCGGGCCGGCGGCAGCCAATCGCCTAACAGCCGCGCAGCTCGGGGACGAGTCTTTAAAGCATCCGCTGCGAGGGAGCGGGAGGCGGAGGCAAAGCCCGAGCAGGGAGGGATCTGGCCCGGCGAGGGCGGAGCAGCGTTTAGGCGCTGCTGGCGGATGCTGGCCCGGCTTTGGCGTGCTTCAAGGTTTACAGCTTGTCCACTGCGTTGCCGCCGGAAGCCTCAGCCTGGCTAAAACGCCCTTCGGAGAGAGAGAGAGAGCGAGGTCGCGGTTCCAGCGTGGCCCGCTTTTCCCCTGCAGGGCGAACCAGTCAGCAGCGCGCTTACTCTCGTCGCGTCAGGAAGGAGGGAGAGGAAGAAGGCATCCGCCCGGCGGGCTTCTTGCCTCCGCCTCCTCCCGACGGAGAAGAGCTCTGAGGCAGATGGCGGGTTATAAAACTGTCGCTCGGCTCGAAGTGAGGATGGGCGGGTCTTTGAAAGAAACGGCTTCTGCGTGGGCGGACGGCGAGCTGGACGGCTAGGAAAGTTCCCGGAGTCTTCTGCTATGGAGGAAGGAAAAAAAAACCCGAGCTTCAAAATCTCGCGAACAAGGCGCGCAGACGCAACTGAGGTTGCAAGAAGCCCTAGCAAACTTTACGTTGAGGCGGACGGTTTATAGAAGGAAGGAGCGATCTCCGCATGCTCCGAGGGGGATGTTCGCTTCTCAGGAAAAGCTGCTCAGGACATCTCGATTGCTATATAAGATACAGTGCGTTTCATTGATCCAGGCCTTGCTTTCCTAGGATGACGAAGACGGCCTACGTGAGGGGGAGAAAAAAAGTCCCCACACAAAAACAGTCCACGCATGGTTATACAAACCGAAAACCTAATGTTTTTTATTGCTATTTTTATTTTATCACAATTCCGAGAACTAAGTTGGTGGCTTTTGCTGCACAGGAGTTACATTGAGCCATGCGTATTGGCGTGGTATATACTAGTGAATACTTGCTTTGAGTTGAGCATCCTCCAAAAATTCCCCTTAATCCCAAGAGTGAGCGAAGATTCCTGGGCAGGCTCAGTGATGTGGAAATTATTCCCTCAAGGCCTGAGGTTTAGAAACAATTCCCATTCAAGGAAAAAAAAAAAGTAACAGCCTCGCATCTAGGAAGCTTCTGCTATGATGCTATTTTATGTTAAGGGCCCTTTTTTCGCCCTTTCAACCCAGTCAAGGAAGGTTAGCTGATGTCATGTGAATTCTGTAACCTATTTAGCAGAGGGTATCTCTAAATCAACTGTCACGTGAACATGGAAGAAAGCTTTTACTCCCAAGTTAACTCTTTTTCTGTGAAATAACACTTGGAGTAGTTCTACAAAACCAAGACTTCTCTCCAAGTAATGTAGCATATAAATGGTGGGAAATGGATATACCCCCCCCCCCACCTGTCTCTTGCATTTTTAGTTGGACCGTCATGGATTTTCAAACAACTTGGGTCTAGTAGAAAACAGTAGGCTCTTAACATATTTAGCGTTGTGGTAGAAAACTCCTGGATGAAAGGATGTTACTCCTTCGCCCTGCATGGGAGTTGTTTCTAAACCTTAAAGGGAAATCTGAGAAATTGGGAGGAGATCAGAGGTTGTATTCAGCAGGTTCTGACCAGTTATGGAGAACCAGTAGCAGGAATTTTGAGTAGTTTGGAGAACCAGCAAATGCCACCTCTGACTGGAGATTTTACAGTATCCTTCCCCTGCCACGCCCACCAAGCCACGCCCACAGAACCGGTAGTAAAAAAAATTTGAATCCCACCATGGGGGGGGGGGGATATTGAATGGGTTTGCATATCACATTGGGTCAAAATCTCTTTTAGTCAATGTGTTGCATGAACCCAGTTTTAATACAATCAATGTGTATTCATAAGGTTGAACCCATGTCTGTAATAGATTACTTTCTTAGGTAAGGTGGAGACAGTGATTCGCTTAACTATGGCAAAAGATCATAAATTGTGCTCTGCTCACTTAACAACTGCCTTGCTTAGCAGTGGAAATTCTGGTCCCAATTATGGTTGTACATTAAGGATTACTTGTACATAAACATATGCATTCATTCTCCATCCGAGATGTTCTAGTTTAGGGCAGCCAATGCAGTTGTTGAATTTTGCTCTTCCTATTTTTCTCACCATGGATATAAGATCAAGGTTGTGGCAAAACTAATTCAGTTTATATTTCCTATATTGTAGTACAAAATATTGATTCAGAATTACCTGCTTTTATGTTTCCTGAAATGGGTGGTTCAATTTTATATTGTGTTCCTGAATGGGAGATGTAATCTGTTACTGTACTAATAATACCTACTCTAGTTAATTATTCAGTCTATGGCAGGGGTGTCAAACTGGCAGCCCACAGGCTGGATGCATCAGGCGCAGGCCACGCCCGTCCCAGCTCCACGAATGGAGAAAACATTGCAAAATGTCACGTGATGGCAATGTGACACCGCGAGTTTGACACCCGTGGTCTATGGTTTACACCAGGGGTTTGACTCCACTGGTTTACACTCTTGCAACTGATGTTAACTTGCAAATCCTGCAGCTGAAACAGCTAGATTAATTTTTGTATTTTTTAGTGGCCCTTTTAATATATCCTAAAATATTTCATTTTCCTAGGAGAGGGGTGGGTTTTAATTTCCAACAACCCATTGCAGCAGCCCCTGAACATCTCCCAGGTGGATTGCTTCTAATGTGACTTCATTTGTTATTGTTTGGGGGTTTGTTAGTTTGTTTTGGTCATTTGTCACTTGCCCATTCAGTTTAGGACAAGTATTGGACAATTCAGGCGGGTTCAAGGAAAGGTAACCAACACTATGTACATGTAAACAGTTTCAAAATAGCTTAATTATACAAGACTGAATTGAACAAATAATCAGGAAAAGGCATCTACAACTTCCTTATTTTTTATTTCCAAATTGATAGGCACCTATTAATCCATAACTGCTATCAATTTGAATCTGTTTACCATAAGAAAAAAACAATTTGTTTCTTCAGCAAAAAGCATCAGCTTTGTAAGGACATTCAGACTGAAATTCATAAAATTTTCCCAAAAGCTGACTAAATTAGAGCTTTGTAAAGAAATCTAATATGTACAAGTTGTCCTGCATTTGTTAATATTTATACATCCAATGTTATGGCAGAAATAGAAAGATACTACAAACAATATAAAACTGGTAAAAATATGTTGTATATTTCTACCTATAGTCAATATTTCTTTTTAAAACGCTTATATAGAAAATATTGCATTCTTTGGGCAGAAACTTTTTATTTAATGTGTAATTAAATAATTTTTCAGTGGCCCGGAGATTGCTTTGATTTTGTTTTTTCGGTTTTTCCAACACATACGCGAAAAAGGGGTAAAGGAGCATTTGCACAATTTCTTTTGATTGTTAGAAGTAGAAACCTGTCATCTGGAAACAACTTAATTCATATAATTCATACTTTTTGACATATTTTAGATTTGATGGTAGGATCTGCTTTCTCATTACAAAATGGTATTTAGAAAGCATATTGGCATTTACTGATGAAGTTATAATAACCTTGACATGGTAAGACATGGTTTGCTTTATAAATCACGATGTAGATTTTTATAATAAACCAAAACCACGTATTTTATGAACCAGGTTATACATGTATGTAGTGAGGAAAGAACTATGGGAACATTATGCTTTGGGGTGTGAAATGTTGCTGTTTTGTCTATGTAATTGGGTGTAACATACTGTCACATCAGCCATATATCTGTATTTATTTGCAACATAATGTGTCAATTGCCTGCATCCAACATTTGTATATAATTCATTACTAATTGCATACTTTCATCTTTCGTTAATATTTATTCAGCTAATATAAATATCAAATGTTTTTATATTACTCTTATGGTTCTTATTTTGATGCCAAGGCGTTTCAGTGGCTTCTTCACTACTAGATCAAGGTTTAGGTTTGTATATAAACAAAGAAGCCTCAGCTCAGACTACAGAGTTGACAAGGACATCACAATTCAAGAAACTCTGCCATTGTTGAAACATCTAGCAATCATAAAGCTTTGATTGCTTTTGGCAACGCTAAGCTCCCTACAGACAGGGAGAACCCTAACCTTAGTAACAATGTGAGCTGGCATAACTAACAACATGCCAACATGAGACCCATGCAACATCTGTTAGGACAATTTCACAAATTAAGTTTTGTTCTAAATTTGTTAAAAAATTATTTTACATTTTACATACTGTATTTGCTGAAATTTAATATGGTACACTAATCCATGATCTCTGTAACTATTTAATATATTGTCCCAAAGGTACTTTTTCAAAAGGCAACCAGATTTTGATTTTCCTTGGAAACGTTTTGCCTCACATCCAAGAAGCTTCTTCACTTCAGAATGTTTTCAAGGAAAAACAAAGGTCCAGTTGCCTTTTGAAAAAGCACCTTTGGGACAACCGTCATCTGAATGACTGAGAATCTCAATGGACATTTAACTGTTTGATATAATATATAATCATATAAGATATAATTATATCTTGCATTGAATATTTCTGAACAAATCTGCAGTAATAATATGGATTAAGTTAAAACACAACAGCAAAGAATAAAGAAGATGGAAAATATAAACCAGAATATTTGGACTAGAATCTAAGGAAGACAGAGAAATGTGAATACAACAGGGCTGTGATTACAGTGTTTTGCATTACAGTTTTTATTGCTATCACAATTTGGAATGAAATTCAACAAATTTATAAGGCTTTTCTGCTTCATATGTTCAACAAATTTATGGGACGTACACTAAGGATCTTAAGGATCTTCTAAATAAAAATAAAAATAAATAGATCTATCATTGGGAGAAAATCATTACTGAATAACTTTGAGTAATATTAAATATTTATGCAGGATTTCCATTTTCACTTGTTTCTGACTAATATGGAAAAACCAGTATTTTCTATAGCAATGAGGGAAAGACTGGAGGGAAAGTATGTTTACCTAGTAGTGTATTTGTCTGCAAACCAGTATGTATGTATATATCTGAAAACACCATCAGGTACATGCCTTTTCAAAAACTAATTTAAATTTAAATCAAATTGAACTTAATATAAATGCAAATCTTTATAGTAATTCCTATAGTAATATTGCACGTTTATACTATAATATAGACAGTGAAATTAATTAATATCCCAATCAAATTTAAAACAGCTGCTTATAGGAATGAGGGTTTTGGAAATAATGTTGTGGAGCCTAAAGTTATAAAATTAATATTTTGTTGACAAAATGCAAACAATTTGTAGTGTTTTACTATCTTAGTTTGCACTACAGATCTAAGACTACTGTGCTTGGCATGGGAAGGGGACATTACTGTGTACCACAGCAGTTCTCAATCTTTTCTTCACCGGGAGACCCCCTTTAAATATCTTTTGGGGCCACACACCAAGGCCATGAACCACCAAGACTTAACTCAAGATTTAAATATAACATTTCTTCAAGTCTTTGCGGACCCTCTTATGATGACATTGTACCCACCCAGAGGTCCGTGGACCACAAGTTGAGAACAACTGTGGTATACAGTTGTAAAATAGTGATTGCTTTTATGGATGGATACATTCATTTTGATTGATTTCTATTTGTTGATGAAATCTAATTTGGATATTGAATAGCTTTTTTTTCAATTTTAAAATGTATAAGTTGAATTGTGAACATTCCTAATTATGTCCAATCTCCTTTCAGATATTGATTTCCTGTCTTATTTCTTTCTATTTTCAAACTATAGTTGGCTATGTTTCCTGTATAAACTTCAAGTTACAGTTGTTAGGTTGACATTAATGTTGATTTATGGAACCAAAATCTGTGGCAATTCCCTCAAATGTTTACATTAAAAGGGACCATATGCAAATCATTTCAATACCTGAAATGGTTAGATTGATAAATTCTTTTAATGTAAGGCAATAAATTAAATCCTGACCCCAATAATTTCTATAGTTCAGGTTTTATAGCACATTTCTCTTAACCGGGCCATTGATTTGTATGGACGAAAGAACTTAAGATGCCTTGTAATAAACAGTAGAAAAAATGGGTGTGAAGTTCAAATCAGCATTCTGTCTCAGAGCTCAGAGATCCTCAGCTCTTAGGTTAACTTCATAATATAATAATAATAATAATCTGGAAATAGAAATCAGGCTAAGATAATAAAAGTTGAAGGAAGATATACTTAATTTCAATATCTCCCATACCCAATAGTCTATTTAGGCATTAAATCTGAATGCATCCTACTAGCCTGTGTTAAGATTTGGCTGTAGCATAGCGCTGTGCATGAATGTAGTCTCTTTTCTTGGACTGGGAATGGAACTAATATGCCTACGACATAATCATTATTACAGATAAACACATTTTCAGGCTCAGCCCAAATGTAGCCAGAGTTTTTTCCCTAAGTCAGCTCGGTTGACAACAGAAATCAAATTAAAAATTGGATTGTGACTTAAAATCAATAAGCATTTTGAATATCAATGAGGATTTCTAAATATTTTAAATATTGAACTCGGTGACACCGGCCACCCAATTTTATGCTTTTTTGTAGATAATTCAAGTAATGATAATGGGGTTCCCTTTTGTGCAAATGTGAAAAAGAATGAAACCTTCAATGTCAATACATTTGATCATATGCCACTTTTGCATTATGTAAAGTAAAAATTTGCAAAAAAAACACCCATATATTTAGATCATGTTCAAAATTTTAATTTCATTTCATAAAAATTGTATGTCTTGAGAAAATAGTGTGCCACTTTATATAAAAATAATTCCAGTCTTATATTTTCCATTCAAATGTTCACTCTGCTTTTAATGACTTATTTCTCTTTTGTTGCACAATTAGTGTAGATGGATGAGCACTCAGCTGTCATTGTCTCAATGTGAGAAAAGGCTTAGAAAATGCTATGTTTCTTCTTGAATAATGGATAAATTATTAATGGAACACATTTGTATAGTACAACACAATTTTATTGTTTTTCTATAGTGATGTAGACTTCTGAAATTTTGCCAGGCAAATTCCATGATTAATCCTTTCTGGCCAAAACAGTTTAAAGCAATTTGCACTCCTTGTTCAATTCAGACGCCAAAAAGCTCTTTACACAGTGTGCTCATGTGATATTTATAATTGCTACTATGTTTTCTGCTTTGCAGTCTACGCTGAAGTTTTGATTCAGGAACACAGTTATTAAATAAAGACTGTTCTTTAAAATATCTTTGTAGTACTTGATGTTTATACTTTGTATTTTCTCACATCATCAGATATTCATTGCAAGCTTAATCATTAATGCTTAGATGGGTGGTGCGACTATTTTTGTCATGCATGAATCAGGAATCCCAAGTACCTAATATTGGTCCGTGGCTTTGTAAACTGGCATCTAACTAGAGGAAGACTGATAGCTTTATAAAATTATAAAACTTGCATTTTATAAAAGCCTCCTGTCCTAGAAAATAAGAAAATATCTATGCTCAAAACTTATGCTACTAAATGATATAAAATCTACAAACTTACTGCGCTGACTCAGTCTTCTGGAGGAAACTTGCTTCTAAGAAAGTTATGAGTCTGTTTTCTCCTTGCTTGCATACAAAGTAAATGTCAAAACTTTGGCTGGAATATTTGATAAAACCATAGCCATAAGCCTATTTGTTGAGGTTAATAAAGGAATTATAATGTAATGAATACATTCATGATAGCTTTCCAAGTATTTACATAAAACTTACTATTAACTACCTTAGATTCTGGGAATTTAATAACACCACATCTGGAGGGCATTGAATTGGAGACAGGTTATTTTATGTTATGAAACTACATATAAACTACATTTTTACAAAATGTAAAGCAGAAGTCTAGAATATATGTTGAATGGATATCATCTGCCAAGAATCCAAGGTATGCCACATAAGTATTAGACGTTCCCATTCTGTGGTTTGTCTCTGAAAATATTTCAAAGAATACACCAGAATTTCCCACCTCGGTATTTATATTCTTCCTCTTTCTCTTCAATACTGAACTGCTTATTTTTCAATTGCAGAATTAGTCCTACCAAATTCATTTATCTCCTGCCTCAAGTTATTATTGACTCAACAAATAAATGGGTTTGCTTTTCAACCACTACTGAGTTGAGAACAATGGCATCTTCAGTGTCTGAGTGTATTCTTGTTTCCATGCCTTAAACTCCAGTGATTATTTCAAACTGGTACTCATGAAACCAGGTTATTCACTTCTCCCCTGGAAATACAAGGGAAAAATCTGAATAAATATCAAAATTAGTTAATTAAGTTTTTCCATGGGTAGATAATAATCCAGAATCAAACAGGATACAGCAATGGTTCTCAACCTGTGGTCCTCATATCATCACAGGGGGTCCATAAAAGCTTTAAGAAATGTTATGATTTAAATCTCGAGTTAAGTCTTGGTAGTCTCTGGCCATAGTCAATGACTACAAAAGGTTATTTAAAGGGGGTCCATGGTGAAGAAAAGGTTGAGAACTACTGGGTTACAGAATTACACAACACATAATAATCTATTATCTACCAAACATAACAGATTAATAAAGTTGGAAGGGACCTTGAAGGTCATCTAGTCCAACCCCCAGCCTTCCACTCCCAGAATTCCCCAAACCAGCAATTTTCTGGGTGTTAGAAGCCCAAACACTCAAAAGTCCTTCAGATGGAGACCCGCCACAGATAAAATGGACCCCCATCCTAGGGGTGCTTCAAAATCCCAACGACCATAAGGCACCGTTCCTCAACTCGGCACACCTTAGACTGTATCCCCAAAAGCTGGAGAATACTGACAGAATATTACTGCCTGATTCCAAAAAGACAAGGAAATATGTGAGTTTTATTGGAGAAGGTCAGAGGCCTGGTAGTCTATTACTGGGTTCTAGCTGTGTCAGATTCTGTAAATCCCTGGCTGCCTGCAACGGAAGGTGAACCTGAAGGTATGTTGGGAAAAAGGTTTCTTACTACTTTCAATCCTTATCTCACATACTCATATAACTGGTGTTAATGTCTTTATCTTTTGCATAACTTCTGAAGAAGTGGCAGATAAGAATTATAATAACCTTGAACAATTGTGCTTTGTACTGACATTTTTCATAAGCATTAACACAGCTTTTATTAATCATATCCTTGAGTTAAACCTGCTGGGTGTGGACAGGATTCTATTATGTTGGTAAAGTCTGAATAAATCTTGTAATAACACCAGTAATAGGCAACTTGGCCTCTGAATAACAGAAACCAGTAGTGCAAGGAGTAAAATTAAGTACTGCAAGGGAATTGTGGTGCGTGAGTGGAATCCTATGCTTTCTCAGAAATTGTCTCCATAGAAATACTGCTATCTCAATCTCATACCTTTTGTTATAGGATATCACACAGGATTTCCATGCTTGCATGGAAATGGAGTTCATAAAAGTCAATGCAGTGGTTGACTGTTTCCATTTATTCTAGGGTTGAAGCAAACAATGCTTAACATTCATATTGTTCTTTTGTCAAAAGTGCATAGATGGAGTTGAAATTGTAGCATCTTATCTACTGAGTATTTCCTACTGAATCTCTCTCAAGTCCACTTGAAGTTAAAAATATGAGTTATTTGTCTCTGGTTTCCCACTATGGGTTTAGCTATGTTAGATAAGATGATAAGGGCAGCAAGTGGATTCTTTGGATGGAACATAGAATGCTTAATATTGACATCTGATTTCCATGCATGCTTAAGTAGAATATCATGAGTAACAGTATTGTAAAAGATGGATGATGATTGCAATGATTATCATTGCTCCTTTCTTGAAAGCAGCTAATAACCCATTGTATATTTTGGTTCACTGTCAGTCATTACTTTTGGACCATAGAGTTCCCATTCTTATAAATAATAATGACATTACATGTAACTATTTGATAGTTGCAAAAGATACTACATCAAAATATCTATTATATTCTATAGTGGAGTTTGCATAGAAATCATAGTAATTGCTGTAAAAATACAAAAGCAATTAAATAAAACATGGTAAAAATGTATAAATCTAGCAATAAGTAACTATAATTAGGGCTTATTAACTGTTATTGATATAACTGATTCATATATTCAGTAGCACAGAAACAGAAACATGAAAATATTAGGAATAAGGAGTCTGATTGGATATTGCTGATTCCTCAGAACATGGAGAAAAGCAGGCATTTTGTAGGTATTCTCTGCTCCTCTGTGATGCCATTGCATCATCAGTATCCTCTCTGTGTGTGTTTGTGTGTTTTAAATGGGTGAGGATAGATAGTATACACATTTGTTTCTTCTATGTAATGGCTCTATGAAGCTAATGCCCAGTGCAGTCCAAACTTTGCCCTTCCTCCTCCCTTTCTTCCTTTCCTTTAAAACTGTCTATTCTGAAAAATGAAGTGACTATTACATAAGCACTCAGGGAAATTTAAATGCAGGCCTTCCTGATTCAAATGTACTGTCTCACATTACTTTTCAACATCTTATCTTCTATTTATAGATTCTTCCTATAATAAAGTTATGGATGCTTCTGTTTTAATGAATGCAAATTGGCTTCCACTCAAAACAATGTCATTTCCAGATTGTAATGCTGTAAAATACTGGTATCAGAAGGAAATCCTATAATTTCAACAAATTAGATTGAATTTTGGAGCTATCCACCTGACATCTAATGCATTCAGCTTTTCTTACTAAAGTTCTGATTTCTATGCAAAAATACTAAAGTGCCAAACAAACGTTATTTGTTATTCTGTGAGATGAAAACAGTTCTGTATCTCCACAGTATACTTCCTGCATTTTCCTTGAAATATAACCTGTCTTTTAAATAAACCTCAAATATTTACTTCTGTACTTCTCACATAAATCAGCTCACAGTAATTTTCCCTAAATTACTTGGCTAGGGAGCAGGAACAGCATGTTCTTAGTTTTAAGTCACCAACACTGGGTCTCTTTCTTACTTCTCCCTTTGGTAAGATTTTCTCTGGTCCCTCTTTCAGGTATAAGATGACATCTGTTTTCCTATAAGGTCAGTTTGGATTTGAAATCAAGTTGCTTTGTTTGGCATTTAAGATAATTTAATAACAGCAAAAATACTTAGTAACTTTCAGTTGACAAAAGATCCTTTAATAGCATTGTAAACATATTTCATGTATGAACTGTCAGAACTAGGAGACATGTGATTCTTATTCAATAGCAGTCACAGTGCTGTGAGAGTTAGTGGTTAATTCAAAACTCTTATTTTGTAAAATAAAAAAGTTTTATCAACTCATGTCTACAAGAATGTAAACGTGATAACCCTCAGGTATTACTTAGCCTTCCAATAGACCCATTTAACATTGCCAGTCATCAGGATTGCTGGAAGTTGTTTCTCAGTGCTGCCCTGAAAGCAAGGATTTGACAAAATGTCATACACCTATCTGAGAAGTGGATTGTTGGAGCTGAATAGGTAGCACAAGATTCTGTTGCTGAATAGGTAGCACAAGATTCTGGTAATCAGTTGCTGAATAGGTAGCACAAGATTCTGGTAATCAAATTTAGTAAACACAACTGTTTTCTGAAAACAAGAACTTCAGAATTGGAATGAATGAGGACATATATCTTATAACCTGTATTGATTAATTTCCCTAAGTTTTATAAACTGAAGTCTTGCGCATTTCCTTGCTATTTTTGATTCTGAGGATTCTCAAAAACAAAAAAAATCCTTTCTTTTCAGTCTGCCAATCCCCCCCCCCCCCCCCAAAAAAAAAAAAAAAAAAAAAAACCACACATAAATTCATAATACAAAGTTTGGCAGTTTGATTAGGGTCAGCACTCATGGACAAAATGGTGCATGAGATATGCCTAAAGTAAGTTTTGGTGAACTCACAGGAGATATAGCTTCAGCCAGGAATAGCAGATTTTAAACTTATGCAATCTACTTTTCTTTTTTAAAAAATAACCCATACATTTGTCCTGTGAAAAACTGGTATAAAAAAGTACACTTGGAAGTGAAGAATTCTGAGCTCAGAAATGTTATTACTGAACAGAATTCAATCTTCCATACAAAAACACTCCCTTGATTTTCTGCCTGAACTTTCCTCATTTCAGAATGGAATAGCATGAATAACTGCACAACTGTACAACTGTTGTACAAAACTGCAACTGTATAACATAGGAATCAGAAAATTTTGCTGATCTTTATAGATTAAAAAGCTTTACATCTGTTTTGATTCTGCTGTGTATCTTATTTAACATTCCTAGAATCATCAAATAGGAGAATTTAGGGCATGTACGAAATTCACAAGTTTTATGCTGAACGAGACAATGTTATAAACATGGTCCAATCATCTTGAAAAAAGAGGGAACTTGTTACAGCAAGAAACAAGTTTCACTGAGGCAATAGTGTTCAGTTGTGGCTGGCAACTTACAATTTTTGACCGTCTTCCCTTATTATCTATGGCATTTTAGAAGAAAAGAAAACAGAGAGATTCTGAGTAGTAGCCCAGATTATTCCAACATATGTTCTAGACAACATATTGGAAAAGGCCACCACGAAGATCTTTACTAATTCATTCTTATGCTGAGAAGCTAAAGATTTAATAATTAGATTTGTGTATCCTGAACACTGTAATCTAATGTTTATCTATTAGGGCAATGAGTCCTCACATAAATATGCTGTTTCTTCAAAAGAATTATCTATGCTTTACTTTTCACAATTAGGGCCAATTCTAAAGGTTTGAGTTACAGACAGTGAGAATAACAAAGATAAACAATCTTAAAATCATTCCAATTTTATTACTGGTAAAATTTATTGTTAGTAACTTTCATGTGTACATATATTTGCATTTTACTTGTCAACTGTCTAGTTGTTGATGAAACACGGCAGAAGGAGAAAGCTCCAATATTATTTGTTTTGATTATGTCACTAATTTTTAGGGGAGGGCTGATGATTTGTTATGTATACTGTAGATTATGTTCATTAATTTAGATATGTTCTTAGATATTGAGAACTGTCTCAGTCTTCTGGTTTTTAAATATTTCTGATTAAAACTGCAAAATGTTCAGTTCAGCATGTTGCTGACTGGTTGTTGTTGTTGTT